TAAGCTAACTCAAAATACCATTGACCCATGTCTGTTATCCACAGATTGTGCAGGGTCATGGCCTCTTTTTGAGGGACCTCACATGACTGTGACAACATATGATTTTCCTCTCTCTTATTCCTCCCTCCATCCTGTTTCATGGTTGCAGTTTTTTAAAGCTAATGTGGCGTGTCAAGCCTTTTTAATGGGATGCACAGAGGCTTGGGAAGCACAGCTTTAAATAGAAATATATGCAACGCTAACACCATAATGCTAATGGCTGAAGAAGGACTGAGAGGACTGTGTTGGTAAACAAGGATGGAATCACACATGCTAGGATGGAGATGTAATAGTAAAGTTTAGGCTTTCATTTAAAATTAAGTACATATGTTTTAAGATGGTTGAATTTTACAACGATAATCATAGTGTTGTTTTGTCAGTGTTTAAAGGTTGAATAGCTTATTTTTGATCCAAATATTTGGAGCAGTGAAGGGGAAGACAGCCAGAGATAGAGAAAGAGAATAGGAAAGGGAACTGGTTTTGCTGAGGAGGCAAGATGTAGAGAAGGGAGAACAGCAGCAAGATAAAACATTTTTGAATAGCCCTCCCCTCCTGGTGAAGTGAAGCATTTCTGACAAAAGAGTGACTCTTGTCCTCCTCTTATTGCCAGTGAGAGACTAAGATGAGACTTTATACAGTTTATAAGTTGCAAAAATAATAATTAGGCAGCCATGACCTATTGTGAAGTTTTTTTCATGTCCGTAAATGTTTTGGTGAGTTACTGCTCTTGCGGATGAGATTAAGATTCAGCTTGGACAGTTTCTCCTGTAAAGGTGAAAGGTTCACTCTACACAATAGCCCTGTGTCTTGTCAAAGTTACCTTGAGCATGGCACCAAGCAAAGAGCTGCTCCCATATTGTAAGCCATTCCAACTTCAGGTATCTCAAACATAAATGGAAAAGCAGAACAGGAAATCCTAATCATATTGTGAGACTAAGGTCTGGTAACTCAGTTTTTAGATGAGATGAAATAAAAAAAGTAGTCTTTTGCAGATTTATTTCAAGCAATAAAAAAATAATTTTATTGAATATACAATTCTTATATACAACTATAATCTGATTTCTATCTTTGTAGCACTGGTAACTGAAATGGTTGATTTTTTTTTTTTTTTTTTTTACTGCCCTTTCTAGAATATTTTTCTCCTGGGTTAAACATGGGACAAGGGGAATAAAGAGGGGTCTTGCAGAATATCTATGCTCTTATCTCTTTGTTAAATCCCTGGGGCTCAAGATATCCATTTCCATGTCTCCTCCCCTGCCTACTTCTTCCCTCTTCCTCTCTTCCCTTCGTCTCTTCGTCTATCTATCCTTCTCTTGTTCTTGTCAGAGGGGGTCAGAGAGGAAGACGGTCAGACAGGGAGGGGATGTTACTGATGCTCTGTTACTCCCCCACACACACATCTGCACGTAAACACACACACACACACACACACACACACACACACACACACACACACAAACGACCAAAGCTGACAAATAGACAAACACTCCACGCAGCGATGAACTTTATAATATGAACACACTCAAGTAAAATCTTGACTGACTCAAATGGACACACAACAGCCAAGCATGCATACACCCACACATACACACTCGGATTGATAAGACACACAGAAAAGAGAAGCAAAAACACACACTCCTCCTGGCACCCACATGCTAAGAGACAGCAGAGAGTGGTGAGCAGGGTGGAAATTCTCATGAAAGGAGTTGTATATTTGGAGAAGACATATCATTAAGATAGGCGGAGGGAAGAGGGAAGGGAGGGAAGGATGCGCAGAAACTTTCCATCTGCTCTTTTAAAGAACATGTTATTGCTTTTCTCACTAAAGGCCTTTCTCTCTCTTCCTCTCTCTCTCCATCTCTCCCTCTCTCCCAACCCACTGAACCACAGCCAAAGGCAGTTAAGACACCAGAATCACTCACAGACAATATTAAAACTGGGCGACTTGTTGCAGAGCAAGAAACTAAATCACAGTGTTTTGACAGATAGGAGCTAATTTGGCGGCTTCGAAAAAAAGGAGGACAAAAACATTTTTGATGTACTGGCTTTCTGGCCATCTCTTCCTGATAACTCTTGTTATTTTGTACGCAAAAACTCTGGCACATGTAGCCCTTTGGAGGTTGCACTAGGGGCAGGATGTAGAGGTGGAAGAAGTTTTCAGATCCTTTACTTAAAGTAGAAATATCACAATGTAAAAAAACAAAGGAAAAGTACTGCATTCCTAAATAAAAGTTGTGCTATCAGCAAAATGCACTTCAAGTATTAAAAGTGTTAAAGTAATAAATATACTTGGTTACATTCCACCACTGGCAGGATGTGCATCGGAGCACACACTAATGCCACTAAGCACATTTTTCTTAGTGCTGCTGTCTGACATGAGATTGTGTGTGTGTCTGTCTGCGTGTGACTAGTTGTGTATATCTGTCTGTCTGCGTGTGTGTGCTGGGAAGCTAGAGGGAGGGAAGCTTTGAAACAGGGTGTATTTGTGCTGTATTGTGGCCCTCGGCATAGCCGCGGCCCCTCAATATCACGAGGCAAGCACTCCTGCTTCCACAGATCTACAACATGGACACAGTGATCTTTTTATGTTCAATCAGCTTTGTTTGTTGAGAATAAAGACTTAAAAGACACATTGTTCATGGGATCAGCTTTAATATGTCAGCAGTGAGTGTTTGTGGTGTCTATATGTAAAGTGCTTCATGCGTCAAGAGATCAGATGACACAGGCAGGCGCCACGTATTTGCAGCTATTTTAATTCTGATATTATCTGATCAGTCTGCTTTTAGAAAGATGGATGGACAGTTCACGTGCATGTATACGCACACACATACACCTAAAGGCACACAAATGGTTGCAGAAAACTACTGGACACAAATTTGGCCAGAGGCGACAATGCAATTATGACTTAGCGCATGAAATTAGCCTCCTTGTGTTCCCATTCCCCACAACCAATCACATGGACAAGGGAAGGCTGGGAAAAATCAGTTTCCTCTCTCTCTCTGTTGGGTTGTCCCAGCATTAAACACAATCCTGTTCATTATGTGCAGAAAAAACTGTAATGAAAAAATGAAAACGCTGGCGCCTCACTGATTTTGCACGTCTGATTGACTATTTAGCGTGTGTGCTCTTGTTAGACATACTCTGTATATTATACAGTAGTCATATGTGTGGCGTCTATTTTTGGTCACCATAACAAGGGAGAATAACTGAATAAATGTCAGGGTGGCCTGTTCCTGTCATTCACACAAATAAATTCTCTGAAAAATGACAGATCTTGTATTTGCACTGAACAGCCAATACACACATGCAGCCGCTCTCTTATTTTATTGTGACTTGTACGTTTTATGCAATAAAAAACGACATAGACAATTTTAATTTTGTAAGTGTCGTTAAGTGGCTCTTTGCCTTTTTCGGTAAAAGTAACCTGTGAAATGTTTTCCCTTTTTCATTTATAGTTTGAATTGGCATAGATAACATGAGGAAATGTCACAGGGCTAGTACCCAGTAATTCACACAATACTTTTGCAGAATGGATCCTTCAGTGATTTTTAATGATCATCTTTAGTTATTTATGTATCTCTCAATTCTTTCCTAAATGTATACATTCAATTTTGGAATATCTGTAGTTTCCAGTTAGTGCTATCCCTTCAACAATCTATTCTCTCTCTCCCTCGCTTGCCTGCTCCTCCCTCCTCTCCTCCTCTTTTATGGCCTGCCTATGGTGTTCAGCACAGTCCATGTCTTGTCTCAGTCATGAACAGAACATTGTCCTCCATGAACAAGGCTCCGTGCAACTGTCCCCCCAACTCTAATATAAATCAACACACTCCCCGAGTTCACATTTATCCAATTTATTCATTCTATATATTTAAACAGGTGGCTCGACTTTAACTGTTCTCAGCTGGCTTCTCTAGGAGGGGGTGCAGTCAGTCGTTTATATTTAAATACCGGGCTTGAAGTAAATTTAGGTTGTCTTTCCCACAGTTGAACTGTTGTTTCCGCATTCATGTGTGCATATTTACAAGTCTTCAGATAAATATAAATCTCAGAGTAAGATAAAGTAATGAATTTTGTATCAGAAGAAATTCCAACAAAATGGGACAGTCTTTAGTGTCAAGGTGATGAGGCTTGAGTAAAGACAAAGAGAGAGAAAGATAAGATAAAAACGTTGAAAGTTGAATCATCTCTGTATAACAAATGTATTTACCTTAGAAAAATGTAACAGTGTTCTACCCTCTCACTGGTAGGTATTTTGATATTTAAGTTTCAAACATCACAAAGTTAGTCAAAAGGATGAAGGCTTTCTGTACTAAAGTTTCTTACAATCAGCGCAGTCAAGCTGCAAAAATGATCACAGAAAACTGGAATACTTGCCATGTTATTGTAGCAACTGCAATAAATATAAAAGCAAACAGCAGCAATGAAGACAAGAGATTTTACATTCTCTTGTCTGTATTCCATCAGGTTAACATTACATATTCCCCACTCACTGATTACATATGCAGCAGGGTGAAAGGGGGGCCGTCGACGCGAATATATTTGTGTAAGAGGCTGCCTAATTACCAGAGCTGGTTCTCCACTTCACTTAACTTTCTAATTGGCTTGCCTTTTTGGCTGCCATTAATTACAAGATTTCATATTCCATTAATGATCGGGGGGAGAGAGGCACGTGAATGTGCACACACTCACACACACTTACAGTATACATCCAGATAGACATACGCACAGGCACATACTGACACCTACGCATCACTGAGCATGAGCACACGTCTCATTTTCTCCCTCTCATTACGCAGTATGATTTTGTGTGTGTCTTTGTGTGTGTGTGTGTGTGTAACCTGTGCCCTACAACAACTTTCTTTGCTAAAAGGCACATCAAACTATTTTTTCAACAACAAGAAGCTTCATTAAACAATTTTTGGTCAGCCTTTTCTCATAAATGTTGTCTTTCTCTCCTGTAGCATCCCTACCCGTCAGAAGAACAGAAGAAACAGCTGGCGCAAGACACAGGCCTCACCATCTTACAAGTGAACAACTGGTAAGTCATTTCAGAGTTTACATGCAGTCGATTTGAGGGGTTTGTACCCGCAGGCTATCCAAGTTCTTAATGATCGGAATTAATGCCTCCACTCCACCCCTATTTTCATCCTACACACACACAGAAACACACCCCCACACCACTTACCGAATGATCCTCACCTAGATCAATCTATCTAAAGAGATATGGCCTGGGGTGATTTTCCAAACCAACAGCCTAACTCAGCCCAAACATGAGCATCCATGTTAATTAAGAGTCAAACTACCATCCAATAAAATCATCCAACTTGCATGTTTGATGATTTTATTGGATGTTTTCCCAGTTATACAAGAATGATTACTGAAAAAGTGGTAGCTCTGAAGTTAATTATAGGGTTTTGCTTTGACTGACTTATTTTGGAGATTGTGGCTTTTTGTACCACCTTTTACTGTGATTAATATTCATTTTAATCAGTCGGTGAACATCTCATTTAAACATTTATTCTCTCTTGGTAAAACTTTTATTCCCAGCTTATGCACCATATTATCCTTGAAACCTTTTTCAGAGATAGTTAGTAATGCACTTTAGAGACTTCCACAGATGACAATGACATATTTGCAAACAAATTACATCTTAAAAAGCAAGAAAAATTGCAGTAAACTTAAATTAACAAACAAGAAAAGTTACACTAAACATGCAGTTACTTTGATCCTTGCATTATATCACAAGTTGCTCATTATCCTCTGATCATTATTCAAAATCAAAATGTATGTAAAAACCTTTTTATTTGACACTATTGTGTCCACTGACCATATATCCTTTTACACATTATTATTTAGCACTTTTTCATAATGCATTTAGTATTTTAACTTGTCCTTGTTAACAAGGAGCCTAGCGTAGAAGTTCACAACCTGATTGCTATCCTGCCTTTGCAAATTAATGATTTAAAAGTGGCAACTAGCCTGTTAATTGGGCAAAAGCGTGAAAGGCTTGCGCCATAAAATAAGGTTGCTAACTAGACTTTTTAACCTTAGGTAGCTCTGTAAAAGGTAGAAAGGAGCCTTATGCCCTTGTGCGGCTAGTCTTATCAGAGAGATGGCTATCAGCACATGCTTAGTGTTATTAGCCATGTCTAATTAAAGGGGCTGGAGTCTGGGCTGGCAGGGCCCAGGTGGAGGGTGTTTGATCTGAGCGGCCCTTAAAATAATCCTTGAACGTATCAGTCAATTGTTAGGTACAGGCATGAAAGTGGAGACTGCAGAAACCAGCAGAAGGAAAGAGAGAGTTAAGGAGTCAGACAGAGTGAAAAATAGATGAAGAGAAAAAGATAAGGAGTGAGGGAGAGAAAGAGATGAGACATGATAAATCCCCATTACCAGCAGTCTAATGATGTTAACATTATTCCCAGCCTTTGTTCAATCTCAGACCTAAGAGACAGACAGACGTTAGATTAGGGTATGGTGTATCAGTCTATAGAGAATTCATTTTACACTGGGCCAAAAATAATGCGTGTGCGCACACACACACACACACACACAGACACTCTGGCAGAAAAAAGGCCTCCTGACCAGAGGGAATCCTGTAGAGGTTATCAAATCACGTGACCCCTCTGAAATCCATGGGGGTCAATTCTTACAGCTGAGATAAAACCAAGCAGTGCGTGTGTGTGTGTGTGTGTGTGTGTGTGTGTGTGTTTGTGTTTGTATGTGAGGCCAGACAGACAGACAGTCACATGAACAGTAGCCTGGTCACTTAAGGCTGAGCTGACTGTGTGCTCTCATTCTGTTTGTTCTTTTTATTGGTAGGGGGATAGCAACACACCCTGAAGGTGTGTGTGCGTATGTGTATTTGTGCATGACCAGCACACACTGTGTAAATCGTGGGAGGTTAATCTTGGTTTGTGGAAGATAGTCTGTGTGTGTGTGTGTGTGTGTGTGTGTGTGTGTGTGTGTGTAAGAGAGGGGAACCGGGGGTGGTTAATCTAAGGGGTATTAGCTGTTAAACCCTGCATGCTGGGATCCCGCTGCCCCCTCACATTTTGTTGTATACAAGTGTGTGTGTGTGTGTGTGTGAGTGTGTGCACGCTTGTCCAGGGGCATATTTCTGTGCACGGTTGTTAGAGTGAGCGAGTAGTACATTGTAGCATGGAAGGGTGATTGAGAAGGAAAACAATAAAGTGAAAAGATGCGGTGACGGAGAGATAAAAACAAAGACATGGAGAGAAAGAGAGATTGAGGAGAAATAGAAGAGGAAAGGTGGAGATAGAGGATGGAAAAAAAAAAGATGACGGGGAAGAAAGGAAGATAGATAGACAGTCACAGAGAGAGAGAGAGAGAGTGAGAGAGGTTACGTTAGGGGAACTGCCATTTCGCAGGCGTGTTGTTGTGCTGGTTGGGAAGCCCCGTCATTGGGTGTCTCCATAGCAACCCCCGGTGATGTTACCTCCTGACCCACTGATTTAGTGAAGTCAATTTCCCTAGCTGTGATTCTGTTTGTCAGTGCTGCTCATGAACACACACTTGCTCACACACGCACAGACAAATGCATGAGTTACACACACGTTTTCTCATGCATTTACTTGCACCAAAATCAGGTCCACAACCGTGACATCAAGCCAAAGAGGACTTCAGGAAGCATAAAACACTTAGTAGGAGTGTGTTTCACGGTCATACCCCGGCCATTGGCATTGGATTCATGTCGAATGGCTACAGATGAACTCTGGGTCATCCATGTTTGTTGTCCCAAAAGGGGAAGACCTAACGATGACAAACATGTGCAACTGACAAATAAATCGCACACAAACACTCTCCCTTTCTCTGTTTATCTTCTACACACACACACACACACACACACTCACACACACAATCTCTTTATTCACATGTGTGCAATGTGCTTTTCTTCACATATATACTCACACACTATCTCTTATACACCCGCATTCTGTCTCGCCCTCTCTCTCTCACACGCTCACATGCACCATAGATGTGTTAACACACATGTCGGTGTGTATTATTGATGAGCGAGCACGCGGTAGGGCTCAGCAGATTAAATAAAAATGCTAAAGGCCGGCAAGGGGCGCAGATCACTCATGAATTATTGGCAGAAATACGCTGCACCAGGGAATCTCAATTTGAATGGAGAGTGTGTGTGTGTGTGGTAATGCATGTACACATTCATAAAGCAGAATCCTATATTGAGAATGTCCACACCCAAATGCATACACACAGACTCCCTATACAGGTAAGGTATGTACACTCAGAGTGTATTGTTTCCACACACCCACACACCCGACACAAACAGATAAGTCACCACATGACACAAACAAAATAATAATAAAATAATAAGTACAATCTTCACTATTGAATTAAATATACAAAGAAGCCAGTCTAATCTCCAGTGCATTTTGAAGACATAAAGGATTATATCATGCAATAGATTTAATTTTTAACATCTTGTTATGGTTTTCAGTCAAAAAAAGAAAGCAAAAACCCTGTTTAAAGCAAACCAATACTGAGTTTGAAAATATTGTTTATTGTAACAGACCAGTGACGTTTGTCCTACAGACATTTTTATTCTGTTTCATTTCACTGAGCTGTGAAACTGTCACACATGAGTTGCTGTCCCTCATATGCCACTGTAGGAGTGGTGTCTGATGACAAAAGTACACAGCCAGATGCAGAAGATATCATCTCTGCGTAAAATCAAACAAATCTTAGAGGCATTTATTTGCAGTGCAATTAGTTTACTTAAAAACAATTTCTCCCTGAAATAAACTTTTAAGTTTGTTATCCTCAGTAAATGTAATTCTGGACCAGAAGTGGATCTTTCTGGCTAAGAAAGAGCTGAATTACTAGAGCTGTCCAACCTGTTGATGGACATTCTCTTGCTTTTTGTATGAGTAGATAATGACTGCGTGTTCATTGTTTCTAATAATTTCAGTGACACATTGTCACCTGACATCGTGACATGTCTTGAACAAAAAAATCCTTTTGTGTATGAGCATTTCTGACAACTAATGAGCTTTGAGATTAACCGGCTCTCTGCCTCTATCGTTGTTTTTTACCTGGGTCCACAATGGATTACATGATCACCTGCTGGAGAAGTAAAGAAAGAAGTCAAGCAGTAATCAAATCAAAAAAAGAACCAGTTTGTCCCAGATTTAGGTCTATCAACAGACATAGTATCTAGGTGTCCTTAACAATACAATCCTTTACTTGCTCACACATTGTAAACCACTCTGAATCAGGGCATCAGCTAAAAGCTCAAAGCGTAACATATAAAATGTCTTTCTCTGTCTACTTTCTTTTTCTCTGGCTACAGTCAGTATCTCTCTGCTAAGTTCTCCTAACGCTCCAGTGATGTAAAAATCGATGGCGAGGTCATCAGGTTTCCCTTGTTGGCTGCCCCTCCCCTTCCTGTCTGCAATTTAATAATGCCCCTTTAAAGGCAGTGTTTAAGCCTCGCCGAGCGATTGTTTTGTCAATAAGACCTCCTTTTACGAACGTCTTAAAAGCATAGAGGGAGAGCGAGGGAGAGAGAAAGAGAGAGAGGTAGTATTTAAGAGGGCAGAGTGGACGGACGTTGAGGCTACTTAGGAAGGAGCAGCGTGGCACGTACATATATATGCCGCTTATCGGGTTTCTGAAAGGGCGAGCAGAGGGAGAACAGAGGAGGGAAAGGGGTGAGGAAAGGGGAAGGAGAGCAAGTGAGTGGGGGAGGAAAGAGACATGGGGTGGGGTAAGAAAAAAATGCAAACATGAAAACATGGACAGAGAGGAAGCCCTTATTGTTTGTTTTATTTCTTTTTAGTAACAATTTACAGAGTTTAGACAATTTATTTAATCAAAATTAAAGGATAATTCAAGTTTATTACAAGTGGGGTCATATTTTCTTAGGTTTGGCCATTGTTTATTAGCAGTTATGATAACATTGTGCTGTTCTGGGAATGCTGTGACAAAGGAAAAAAGAAGTCAGGCAGGACAAGTCAGATAATCAGACAGGTTTTAAACAAACTCCCAGGT